GATCCCCGGCGCCGCGGCTCTTGCAGAATGATCCCTCCCTGGGTGCTGCTCCTTTCCCTCCCCTTGGTGGGAGCCACGGAGCGCCCCGAGGGCCGGGAGTTCGCCCCGGGCCTGGCGGCGACCCTGGCCGCCCCCAACGCCTCGCACTTCTTCTGGAACAACTACACCTTCTCCGACTGGCAAAACTTTGTGGGCCGGCGGCGCTACGGGGCCGAGTCCCAGAACCCCACGGTGAAAGCCCTGCTCATCGTGGCTTATTCCTTCATCATCGTCTTCTCGCTCTTCGGCAACGTCCTGGTCTGTCATGTCATCTTCAAGAACCAGCGCATGCACTCGGCCACCAGCCTCTTCATCGTCAACCTGGCCGTGGCCGACCTGATGATCACGCTCCTGAACACCCCCTTCACTTTGGTAAGGCGGGGGCCAGGCCACCCCCGCGCTTCTCTCGGGCTCCCTCTCCTCCCTGGGCCCTATTTGCCCTCCCCTGCAACCTCCCACCCCTACTTCTCATTTCTCTCTCTCTCCCTCTTCCACTTGTCCTCCTGTCTCAGTCTGTCAGTCTCTTCCCTCTCTTGCCCTCTCATCTCTAATTTCTCAACTCTCCTGTTTTTCTGTCTCTTAGTCTTTTTGCCAGTCTCTGTCTTTCTGTCTGTGTCTCTCTCAGAAGCCGTCCTGCTCCCTCCATCTCTGTGTGTCTTCATCATTTTTCCTCTCTGTGACTCTTTCTGTGCCTCTGTTTACCTGTCTCCCTCCCTTTCTCTCTCTCTCTTTACCTTTCTCTCTGACTCTTCTTGTTGCGTGTGGTTGCTTCCTCTCCCCCCTCCTCTCTCTCTGTCTCTCTGTCTCTCACCTTCTAAGCCAGAGCATCTGCAGCTGGTGGCCTTGGAATAATGATTTTAGTGTCTGCAACCAGTTGTGAATGAATGACCATCTCCTATTTAATTTTAATGTCACCGAGCATGAGCTTTTTGATAAGTAAGCAGTAAATCCAAGTCCCTTGAAATGTCAGCAGAGATTGTTCGGTTACCCCATCTCCCCATCACCACCAAAGTGCAGCCCATTAAATACACGCCCCTCCTGATGCTTTGTGCCAGAGTGGAAATGTCAAACATTTGCTAATTGTTAATGGAACCTTAAGTGCATTTTCCTAGATCACTTATTTAAATTGCATTTCTCTTCTGTGTTTTGACAGTGAGGCTGTGCAGGAAGTCTGTGTGGGAAAGAGACTGGGCCCTAGGGCTGGCGCAGGCTGGGAGCATCTGCACATGGGTGGCATGTGAGCCTCCTTCCCAAGCCTTGGCCCCTCAGCATTAGCTGTGTCATTTCTGTCCCTCTGTGACTAGGGAGTGTGGTGCTCATGGATGATTTAAGACTAAGAGCTTTGACTGAGCAAGCATAATGACTGCAAAATTCTATGTTTTTGTAGCACTAGTTATATTTCCCCCCCAATTTGTAGAATAACAAATTGTAGAATTCAAGTTATTACCAAAGCAGTATCTGTTCATATCTCTCTGTATCTCATTGTCTCTCTGTCTTCGTCACATATTAAAGCTACATTCTCTTGTCCTCACTTATAAGAACATTACTCACATTTATCAGATGAGGAAACTAAGGCACAGAGATATTCAATCCCGTGTCCAAGGTCACTTGACTAGTAAATGACAGGGCCAAGATGAGAATTACTTCCCCTGATGCAAGTCCAGAGGTCTGTCCACTAAACCATCCACCCAGGAGTGGGAGCAGGGTGCACTCTTGGACCATGTTAAGCCACCACTACTCCAAAACCATGGGCTTTTCCTGTCCTCCTTCCATTTTACCTCTAAAGGATTCCTGGCCACTCAGGGTCCTCTAGCCACTAGCCAAGGACAAAGGGGCTTCCAAATACCCTTGCTCCCTTCCATCACACACCCCCCCCTGCTGCCTTGAAGCACAAGAAAGTGCATCTCTGACTCCCCCCCTTGGTTTCTGACCTGACAATCTGCAATGCTGGGTATGAGCTGGGCCACCCAGGATGGGAGCTGGAGGGTCCCAGAGCATGGCCTTGTGCTGCTGCCCAGAGCAGAATGCATGGCTAGATCTGCAACAGACATGAGGGTGGGTGGGGAGGGAGGCCATGGAGCCCAGGCCTGGCTACAGCCAAGAGCTGGCAACCCCTGTCCTGGAGGATCTCCTGTGAGAGAGGGGATGGTAAGGTCCGAAGAACCCACCACTACTTGCAGGTTGATTCAAAGCAGTGTGGCCTTCAACCTGACCCATGTACCTGTCCCAATCCGAACTCCTATCCGAGTTTCCAAGGTGCTGGCAACCAGGGAGAGTGAAAAGGTTGAAAGGAGGGTCTTCTAAGGCTTTAGCCAGGCTCCTCCACTGGGTAAGATGTCCTGTCTTCAGGCTGGTTGATGACAATAGCCTTCCTCCCTAGTCTCTCTTGCGTTCCTCTTTACACACTATATCAGCATAAAGTCTAGCTCTGGTCATTAGGAGAACAGTTACTTACAGTTCCCACGGCAGAGACATACAGACTGTAGTAGAGCCCGGAGCAGGGAGTCATTTATTCTGACCTGCCAGAGTCCCACAAGAAGGTCAAAGGAGGCCCTTGAAACAACATGACATTTCAAAGGGACCAGGATGAGTGGGAATCTCCCAGGTCAAGATGAACGCTCAATGCAGACAGAGGGACCCGGGAGAACAAAGACAAGGGGCACCAAAGTTCATGCTTTGTTGAAGGACCACTGAGTGACTCACTGCAGCTGAAGCAGTGGAGGCAGGAAGCACAGTGGATCCACCAGCAGGGCAGGGGAGAAGCAGAAGTGGGCCAGAGAGGAAGGCTGAGCCAGGCTGTTAATGGGCCTGGATACTCGTAAGGCATCTGGCTCTGTCCTCAGGGTCATGATGATTCCAAGCAGGAAGGTAACAATATGGCTTAAGAAACATACTATCAGCAGCATGAAGGCTGCGTTACAAGGGGACAAGACTGGAGGACAAAGAAAGCTGTCAGGGGGCTGTAGTGGCAGCTGAGAGATGATGGGGGACTCCACTAGAACCATGGTCCTGGGACTGAAGAGGAGGCAGTGGATTGAAAACCATTTAGAGGTAGCACTGGTGGGCTTTAGTAAGGCATGGAATATGGGAGGTGAGAAGTAGGCACAGCTAAAGATTTCTAGCTCTGTAATATTACTGGGCTGCTCAGAAGCCTTACGTCCCTCTTCCCTGCCCATTCCAAGGATAGTGAAGTCCACGATCTGCAGGCCCAGCTTCATTGCCCCTCATGACTTCCACACACTCCAGCCAAAACCATTCCACCCCTTATTCCCAAGCAGGTCAAGTGCCAAGTACTTTGTTCCTATTTTCACATGTGCAAATCCTACCTACTCTTTAAAGCTTATCTCAAATGTCTCATGTCATAATGACAGCAGTGTTAAGTATTTGCTATGGACTAGGCAAGTACCTACTTTATATGTGGTAGCTTTGGTTTGGATTCCATAGCAACCATGTGAAAAGGGTTGGCCCCATTTTACAGATGAGGAAAGTGAGACTCATAGGGTGCATTGCTCAGGGTGACAGCTGTAAATGGCAAGTGCTATGCTGTAAACCACTACACAGTGTTCTTTTTGTTGGGCTGACTTGCTCTGTTTTTCTCTATCATTTCTCTCCCTCTACCCACTCCCACCCTTCCTGGTGGCCCCAGTGCCCTTTGCCTGTGCCTTCTGTAGGGTATTATTTACTTTCTGTTTTTCATCTGAGGCACCCGAGTCCTCCTTTGCCAAGACTGGAAGCTCCTTTATCAGAGCCAATGCTTGACCTCTCTCGGGCATAGTATGTTACTCACAGGAGCTGCTCCAGCACTGACTGAGTGGATGGTGTGGGATGAGGCCTAGCCTGCTCATAAAGCCATACACTGCCCTGGGAGCTCGTCTCCTTCCCACCCCTTCCCCTCCCTCCCTGCCCCTGCCCATACCTCTTCAAATCCCTGGCTCTCCTTCCCAAACGATGTATTGCAAGGCCTGCTTAGCCAAACATTTGAGAGCACAGCCCACACGCTATGTTGTGACTTTTCAGTTGTGTCTTCCCCATTATTCTGAACTCATATGGGCAAAGAATTAATTTTATTATTACCATAAAAACAGCTACTACTTATTTCTAATAATATCTTTCTAGCAATCTGCCAGACACTGTGTCCCACCCTTTATAGACTTTTAAAACACTTAATCCTTACATAAGCCTACAAGGCAGAGATTTTTAATCCTTTATATTTTTTTACAAATGGGGAAAGTGAAGTTCAGAGACATTACATACCCTGCTCAAGGTCACACGACTAGAGACTAGCAGAAGAAGGAAGGCTGTGTTATAAGCGACAAGCTGGGACGAAGCTGTACTGGTCCAGGTGAGAGATGATGGCAGACTTCACTAGGGCCATGATCTTGGACGCCAAGCCCACAGCCCACGTCCTTCCCATGCTCTCCTGGCACCCGACAGGGCCTGGCCCCGGCAGCATGGTTGTAGTCTGTTTAATTGAATGATCAACAATGAATCACGTTAGAGAAAATCATTGTGGCCCACAGTGCAGCTGTGAGGAGTGGAAGAGGGAGGAGCTGGGAGAGGACTGAGGGATGCTCCTCAGAGACCATGGGGGTCGGGGGGGGGCTCAGGTCGAGCCTGCCTGTCTGCTGACCTCTGTGGGCTTGCTTCCAGGCCCGCTTTGTGAACAGCACCTGGGTGTTCGGGAAGGGCATGTGCCACATCAGCCGCTTTGCCCAGTACTGCTCCCTGCACGTCTCCGTCCTGACGCTGACGGCCATTGCTGTGAACCGCCACCAGGTGAGGGCACCTGCCCCCAGTGCCCTGTCCTCCCTCTCTGCCTTTGTTTTCCGGAGGGGATGTGGAGCCCTTAAGACAGTATTTTAGCCCATTTTTCAATGAATGCATTTGTCTTACTGACCAGGATGAGCGCTTAGATGAAAGGTATGTTAAACCCTTTGTACTGGTGCCTCAGAAAGTTATTCCCAGTTTGTTGTTCTAATGAAGACGCACTGCTAACGCTTTGTGTCTCAGAAATTAATGAACTTGCTTTAGGGGTAGAAAAACAAACCTGGAAAGTCACAGATGGAAAGAGCGTGGCCAGTAATTATAGGCCAGAGACAAGGCTCCTGGCTGGGAGATGGGCATTTGCTTGCCCGAGCCGTTGATGTGGAAAATAAGCCCAGGCAGCCAGGTGGCAGGAGCAGGCGACGGGGTGGGCCAGGAAGGTCCTGTTCACTGTCCTGCCTCACCGGACACACATGGGTGGATGTGGTGAAGGGAACTGAAGAGGACCTGAGTCCATCCCGGAGGAGGGGGCTCCACGGCAGGCGTCTCACACTAACTCACTCAATGAACCCGTGTTGTATACTTGGATCTATGCTGAATCAAGGAATGGAGGCTCAGAAAAGTGCATATGTAACTTTTCCAAGATCACATGCCTGCAAATGATGAAGCTAGGGTTAGGACTGAGGTCTGTTGGGCTCCAAGCCCATGCTCTAGCAGACTCAAGGGCACCTACAAGGCCAATATCATAAGGGCCTCCAGGACAAAGAGAGAGAGATTTTATTCTGAGTAGCTCCAAGAGGTGTCCCAGGACCAAGAGACAGGAGGCTTTGAGATGCAGATGCAAAGATGCAGCTTAATATGAGGAAGAATTTTCTAATAGAAGTGTTCGAAGGTGCACACAGCTGCCTGGGGAGGTAATGAGTTTCATGTCATCAGCTGTATTTAAGCAAGGTCTGATAGGGATGTTCAGAGGAGATTCACTCATCTGATAAGGAATCGGACTTGGCAAACTTTGAGATCTTTTTATCCCTGCAGTGCCATCATTTTGACATTTAGATTGCAGATGCTCTGGTGCAAAGTGTGAAAAAGTTGCACACCAATGTTTTCTGCCTTTCTTAACTTTCTCCCCTAATTCAACAGGAAGGACTCTGGATTACCTTTGCCTGGCTTATGCTTACCCCATTTAACACAGCTAACTGACAGTTGCCCCTTGGGTTAAAGGTGGGTCTGAGGAACAGGGGGGAAGTCTTGCCCACATTGAACACATTGCTGTGACATATACCTAGACATGGGGCCCTGTCCCAAAGCCAGCAGAGTCTTTGAGCAGTGTGTGGGGCCTCTGACCCGGGCTTCCACTCCGTTCAGCCACCTGAACCCTGAAGGAGTGAGGGGCAAAGATAACAAAGTCCAGAGTGGAGATGTGCTGGGCCCCTTTAAAGCCTAGTCACTTCCTCCTGTAAAACTTTGAAAAATTTGGGAAGAAAATTTGGGAGACACAGCCCAATGTCCAACGGGTCTTGGGATGGGGTGGCAGCTCTTTATGACCCCTTCCCTTGACCCTGGACTCACCTATCCCAAATGGCCTTTTTCAAGACATAATGATTCTAATCTTAAAACAAGGATGCTGCTAAATACCTACGTGTCTATTTAAACCTTTTAGGAGAATCAATTGGCATATAGTAGCAATTTCAAGATGCTTTTTGGCCTGAAGCCTATAATACTGGCTTTATTATAGGCCTAGGAAAGCTGAAACCCCTGCAGTTTTAGTAATAGCTTTTGTAAACAGTGCTGTGAACCCCAAATTAATGTCTGTGCAGCTTCCCATGATAGGTAGTGAGAGTCTCCATTCCACAATTGTCACCCTCTGACCTTCCAGAACCCTTCGTAATCCAAGGGGTCTGGAATTACGGGGAGATGAGATCAGATCCTGAGGTGGAGGCTGGCCCTGGCCTGTTCCTCTGCGGGGCTATGGGTGCCCTGAAAGCAGACCCCCTCCTTTACCCTCCCCATCCTCTTGCTGTGTCCTGGTCCTGAATTACCTGGAGTCTCTGAGTCCAGATGACACCCCTTTCCTACCCCTGCAGGTGGGCTGTGGGGTGATGTAGCTCAGGGACTCAATAATGAATTAGTGGGTGCTTTACTTTATAAATAAGACCTACCTGCTTTGTTGTGACAAGTGAGCTATGTCCTCTGGATTTCTCATTTGCTCCCAAACTTCTTCAGTCAGTGATGCAGTTTGTTTTCCAGGTCATTATGCATCCGTTGAAACCCCGGATCTCCATCACGAAAGGTGTCATCTACATCGCAGTCATCTGGACCATGGCTACATTCTTTTCCCTCCCTCATGCTATCTGCCAGAAATTATTTACCTTCAAGTACAGGTGAGATTAACCAGTAGGGAGCAGCCTGGACACTCAGAGGACTTTGACAGAGCAGAGTGTGAGGCCTCTCTGAATCTCAGTGACCAGTAACTGCCACACGGGGCCGTCCTCTCTTCTCTGCCTCTCACATCCTGTTGGTTCCAGACCTGTGCCTATTCTCTGCATTTTTTTCTGCTTTTTCTCATCTTTTTTCCCAACAACTTTAGCTTCCTCCTTATACTCTGTCCAGTTTGTCTGCAAGGCCAAGGCAGTATTTTTATTTTATTTTATTGATTTCAGAGAGAGGAAGGGAGAGGGGGAGAGAGAGAGAAATATCAATGATGAGAGAGTCATTGATCGGCTTCCTCCTGCATTATCCCCACTGGGGATAGAGCTGGCAACCCGGGCATGTGCCCCGACTGGGAATTGAACGGCGATCTCCTGGATCATAGGTCGATGCTCAACCACTGAGCCACACTGGCTGGGCCCAAGGCAGTATTGATTAGCTTTGATCACTGGGAGCATGTATTTTCACAGACTGAGCTTGGAAATCACCCAGGCCTTGTGTAAATGGTGTTGTTTAAATTCTCTTACACAACCTACAAACATAACATGTATCTATGTGTCTGAGGCAGGATGCTCTACCTTCCCATACCTCCCATTCAGGTTCCTTTGCTCTCAGAGAATGAGAATTCCTTTCACTTTTTAAAAAAATCCTCGCCCAAGAATATTTTTTCCATTGATTTTCAGAGAGAGTGGAAGGGAGGGAAGAAGGGGAGAGACAAGGAGAGAGAGAGAGAGAAAGAGAGAGAGAGAGACTCATGTGAAAGAGACCCATCAATTGGTTGCCTTCCACACATGCCCCAACCAGGGCCTGGGATCAAACCTGCAACCAAAGTACCTGTCCTTGACGGGGAATGGAACCCAGGACCCCTTGGTCCAAAGGCCAATGCTCTAACCACTGAGCAAAACAGTCCAGGGAAAGAATTTCTTTCAAAACACTTAGTTTTTTAAATGTAAGCGCTCGACTGTGCTACTAGTTTATAAAGGTGATGACCCCCACTAAATTGTAAGGTTGGGGAGAGCTGGCCCCATTTCTGATTTTGCTGCCTTGGTGTCCCTAGTACCTAACTTACTGTGTACACATAACAAGCCCTCTAACCTATATTTACTGAATGAACGGATGAATGAATGAGTGAATGAATGAATGAGCTTGGAGTGATTTTTGTCAGTTCATAGTTGTTTTAGATGAGGTTCCTTAGAGACAGACCCTGAGATTTTTAAAGGAAGTGCCTCCAGGAGTGATGGGTGAGGGGTGGGGAGGCAGAGCAGCAGATGGGGGAGCCTAAGGAAGGGTGCCCTTTGGGAGGAAGCTGCAGCCTGCTCCACAGGGAGCCCTGGTGACATAGTTTGCCAGCCTTGAGGCAACTGGAGCCGGGCTTTCTCATTCTCGGCCTCCCTTGGGGAAACTCCCGGCCACGTCTGGCTTTTAGTGGATCTGTGGGAAGTGTCTTCAGCAGTCCTGGGGCAGTCCTAGGCTACTTCTTGGGGGGGCAGGCAGGAGCTGAGGGCGTAGCACTCTAGATATAGGTAAAGGGGATTTGAGGGGGTCTAGGGAGTGCAGTGCTGCTGTGTCCTAAAGTAGCCACGTGCTGCCCCATCCAAGACAAACACCCACACTCTTGTCACATAAGCAGGGTGACGAGAACAAATCTGAAGGCCGATTTCAACCAACTTAAAAGGCTCCCTTCTGAATTCTAGGATATTAGAGTGAATCACATACCCAGGCTCCCCAGCGCTCAGACCCCCAGCACTGACTCCCCATCTGCCTTCACACATGGAGAGCTGGTTTTTTCCTTCTGACAAAAGCAAAGAGAATTCTCTCTTTCTTTCATTAGTGATGACCCCCGGCGCATATAACAAGAACAATGAGCCACAAGACGTGATGAGAAAACAGCCCGTTTTGAGTTGCTGCCTGGGCATTTTACAGCCTGACAACCCTACTCACACTGAGTCTGGACATTTAGATAAGGACCCGAGCTTAGGATCCATCACAGGTTCCTGCCTTGCTTTTCCTGGGGCACCTGTTTAAATGACCCGTCAGAGTTGAGCCTGCAAAAAAATTAGTGAGTGCTGCCTCGGCCACCATGTAAGTCATAGGTGTTTGCTACTCTGCTCTCTGTCTCATGCCCACTGATGACCCGGGATGGAGGACTGCCCTTCCCCCAGCTCATTGCACCCCTGTTCTGGGATTTGTAAATAATAGATCTTGTGACTTTACTTCCTTTGTGTGGCTGTATTGAAATGGTGCCTTCAAAATGGCTCCAGGGTTTTCACTTCTCCAAAGTGGGAGCTACCTGGTGCCCCCATGGTGGTGGCTTGTACTTCCATTCCAAAGGTCATAATGTGCATATTCTTCTTAACACACCAGCTCTGACTTTTCCAACACACATGGATATCCCTAAAAAGCTTGAAGAAGAATGGGTACATTGCATAGAAAATAAGTATCTTATGCTGGGATTGCCACGCATATGATCAAGACCCATCATGTCTGCCCCATGCCTTAGCGCTCCTCCAGGTAGGACAATGGGAATTCCTGAATACATTGTGCAGCCAGGACCAGTTAGTTCTAAGACGAGGAACACCAGTGTTGCATTCATTCACTGAACAGATTCTTATTGGGTCTCTGCTATGAGCTAGGACTAATACAAGGTTAGGAGGACACAGAGATCCAGGTGTATTCCTTTTCTTTGTAGAACTCCCAGCTTAGGGGGAAAGCCAGAAATGTAATCAGATAGTCAGGCTGCAGCATCAAAAGGGCATAACAGGTGGATGTACCAGGAGCTCAGTGGAGAGGAGGCCAGTGCTTCTTGGGCCTAGGCCTTTCCCGACTAATTGCACACACTCTTTCTCTCTCTGTCTCTTTGTGTCCTGTCTGCCTTTGTCCCCAGTGAGGACATTGTCCGCTCTCTATGCCTGCCAGACTTCCCTGAGCCAGCTGACCTCTTCTGGAAGTACCTGGACTTGGCCACCTTCATCCTGCTTTACATCCTACCCCTCCTCATCATCTCTGTGGCCTACGCCCGTGTGGCCAAGAAGCTGTGGTTGGGCAACATGATTGGTGACGTGACCACGGAGCAGTACCTGGCCCTGCGGCGCAAGAAGAAGAAGACCATCAAGATGCTGATGCTGGTGGTGGTCCTCTTTGCCCTCTGTTGGTTCCCTCTTAACTGCTACGTTCTCCTCCTGTCCAGCAAGGTCATCCATACCAACAATGCCCTCTACTTTGCCTTCCATTGGTTTGCCATGAGCAGCACCTGCTACAACCCCTTCATCTACTGCTGGCTTAACGAGAACTTCAGGGTGGAGCTGAAGGCATTACTGAGCATGTGTCAGAGGCCACCCAAGCCTCAGGAGGAGCAGCCACCCTCCCCAGTCCCTTCCTTCAGAGTGGCTTGGACAGAGAAGGGCAATGGTCGGAGGGCTCCACTAGCCAACAACCTCCTTCCCTCTCCCCAACTCCAGTCTGGGAAGACAGACCTGCTATCCGTGGAGCCCATTGTGGCCATGAGTTAGAGGAGGGTGGGAAGAGGCAAGGGGAGGGCTCTGTCTCCAGCTGAGATTAGAGAAGGGCCTGAGGACAGAGCCCAGAAAAGAGCGGGTCGTCTCATACATTACCTTCACCTTGCTGGAAACAAGTCCCTGCAGAAACTGAACTCTCAAGTTCCTAGGAAACTGCTTAGCTTCCCAGCCACATTCGATGTGAAAACTAAAAGGCACCTACCAACTAGACACATGTTTGTGAATTCCTGTCTTAGAAATGCTATGAGGCATATCAGCCTGGTTCCTGAGCCAGAGAACAGGACGACTTCAGCCCAAATGGAAGTTGAGTCAACCAACTGCCTCCAACTGTCAGGCAGCTACCTTACCGCCCTTCTGGCCACTGAGCATCCTAAAGGACACCTGAGTCATGCTTTGGGTGTGGCTGACCCAGCACGGAGCTGTGCTTGAACAAGGCTCATTGACCAGTGTGAGGTTAGCGAGCCTGAGCTGCTAGGGAGGTTTTCACTCCTCAATTTCTGAAGTCATGGGACCAGGATGAATCACAATTCAGTGGCAGCCTGGCCCAAAATATGACAAGAAAGGACCGATTTGGTTCCTTAAAACAAAGAAAAATTATTAGTAACACTTTGGAAAATTCAGAAAAGCACAAAGAAGAAAATAAAAATCACCCCCTTTTCCCACCAGCGTGTGCTAAGTTGTTAGCTGTGAGTTTATCTGCAACGTTTTCTTTTTGTGCATATGTGCATTTCATTTCATTATGAATTGCACATTTCTGTGTAGAGATAAGCAAGAAACGGGGGCGTAGCAGAGAGCTCTGGAGCCTCTCTCCCAGAAATAGCATCCACCAGAAGAATTGGAAGAAGAGGTGGGAGAGGAACCCAAGGACAAGAGTGTCATGGAGCAGACGGACTGCCTTCGTCCTGTAGTCAGTGAGGGGGCCTGGCTGAAGTGCCTCTTCTCAGATGGTGGCCATTGTGATGAGTCGGGAACAAAGCTCATCCAAGAGGCATAATCCCTCCTCTCCTGCAATCACAGAAAAGAGGTGGAAAACATCACCCTGCTTTCATAGGAGATGAGGGAGCAGGCTTTCCAACATACTGGAAATCACTGTTTGGACACCTCACCCCCCAACCTGTCTGGACATGTCGTTTCTCTGTGTTGTCTAAATAATAAGGCTTCTTTCTTTTCTTCATTGTCAGCGTTACCCTGGCAGCTCGTGCGTCACTTACAGAAACCTGTGGCATTGTGATGGTCCTTAAGGACTCAACTTGCCAGAGAAATCTCATTCCAGAGACTGAGTGTTTTCATCACGTCTCTTCGCAGAGAGACGCGCCAGGCAGAATGGAGCTTAATCCACCAGCAGAACACAGTTGCCTCTCTCACTGGTTTCAGCTTTCTTCCTAGCACCAGATAGATCCAGAAAGCAAAGTGTGGATGTGGAGCTGAGTGGGAAACAGGTTTGGGGAGAAGGGGTTTGTCCAAGGTTCACTGAGATCTCGTGGCTGTTCATTGAAACTGAACTTGGTCACATCATATTTGCTTCCCTATAATGAACCATGGGGCTGTTTGAAACTTTTCAGGATGTAAAGTTTTGAAAAATCACCTTCTGAACAGTGGGTAAAAAAGTGACTTTCATGGAGCAGAGAGAGCTTTCTGAGCCCACAGGATCCCCAGATGGATTTTTCTGGCCAAATGGCTCCCATGTCTGTGCCTGTTGTCTCTCTAGCATCAAGAAGTAGCTTAATGCTGCCATAGAAATCCTATGAACCAGAAAGGGAACAAGCAGCAGGGCCACAGTACCCCTGATCTTTGCCTCTCTCTCAGAGCATCTAGAAATAGGGCCGAGTACAGAGAATCCCTTTTCTGGGGAAGGGCTCCCCGCTGGCCCATTAGGTCTGTGTCTCTTGCCTATAACTTGTCTGCCCCTCGCCTCATGTTCCCTACATGCCTCAGAGCAAAAAGTGATTTGTATTTGTGAATGTGAAATTTGTAAAACTCGAGTCTTTCCAAAGTGCTGTAATGTGTACTTTATTGTAAATTGCTCTAGTCTCAATAAAATAATTTTGGGTGCGTGGACTGTGCTTCTCCCACTTGTGATCAGGCCACTGTGGATAGCCTTTAAAATGGGGATCCTCGTGGGTTAGGTGAAGAGAGCGTAGAGATCACCTGCCGCACCCCTGTGTTTTACAGCGGAGGAAGCGCAGACCCTGAGGTGGCGAGTAGCCAGTTGAAAACCTCTGACTCTTAGTCTAGTGCTTCCTTCGCTGAGCTGGCTGCCAAGTCCCCTGTCTTGTGATTATGAATCTGTGCTGTGTATTTTATTTTATTATTATTTTTTAATCTTCAGCTGAGGATATTTTTTCTATTGCTTTTCAGAGAGAGTGGGGGGGGGATAAGGGGGGAGAGAGAGAAACATCAGTTGGTTGCCTCTCGTACGCACCCTGACCAAGGCCGAGGATGGAGCCCACCACCGAGGTATGTGCCCTTGACGAGGAATCAAACCCAGGACCCTTCAGCCCGCAGGCCGATGCTCTAACCACTGAGCCAAACCGGCCAGGGCTGAGCTTTGTATTTTAACCCGGGGCTCCATCTGTTCCTTGGTGATTCAGGAGGAGGTGAAGCTGCCATCCAAGCCCCAAGGAGCAGGTCTCCCGCTTGCAGTGTGTGGTGGGCACCGCGTTCTTGTGTTTACCAGGCTATCTGCCCACTGGGTCTGCGGACCCCCTGTCCAAACAGGGGAGCTGGCCAGGAGCCTTCGGGGAGACATACGCTGATGCCATCCTGAGCCCAGGAAGTCAGTTTCAAATAACACCACAGAAAGTTGTACATGAGGGTTACCTACTGAGCCTAAGAGAAAATTTGAAAGAAAAATGGAAGGCGGAGGAGAGGGAGAAAAGAAATAAGATTTGTGACCACCTACTATGTGAGATGCAGTACTGAATGTGCATAAGCTCATGAGCCCATTCACCTGTATAGCAGTTCTCCAAAGTGGGCATTATTTCTACATTGTAGATGAGGAAACTGAGGCTCAGCTAACAATCACACGGCAGAACTGGGAAAACGCTACCTTCTTGGAGATTAGGTTCTGAGACAACATGTAGAAAAGAATCTTAATATGCCTTGAATCCATTGCTTTACAAATGTCCTTGATTCTGAGACACTTTTTGGGTAAAACCTATGAACAGTCCTAAAACCCAGTGCTTGGGTCACGTGCTCTGGGAAATGCTTGACTAGGTGGCCCCAGTGCCCGAGCAGCCCTGTGGCGAGCGAGTCCTTGGTTCTGGTACCGGCGGGATCTCGGGCTGCCTTGGAGCTCGGTTCTGCCGAGAAGGGACTTCCAGCGAACCCTCAGCGCCCCCCGAGTGCTGGTGCCCTGCTTGACTGCCCGTGGCAGGCTGCCAGGCAGACGAAGCGGCCATCTCGGTCAGCCCAGGCCCGGGTGCTGGCACACAGCACAGGCACAGCTCAGGGCTCCAGGGCCTCTGAGCTGGGGTGCAAACCATAAGCTCTAGAGTAATGGAGCCGTGGGGGAGTGTGGGGGCCCGCGGGGAGCGTCCACTGGGGGACATGCCTGCCTTCGAGCCGCGTGGAAAGGTGGTGGACGCTTCTGCTGTGGACCAGGCCGGCAGCATCTGGCTTTGGCACCTCTGTGGACCTGTCCCCCTCCCCCGCCTCACCATTTCCTCTCATTTCCAGAAGTAGCTAGGGAAGGAACACATAAGAGACTTGTAATGCTGAAAGTATTTTGAAAAACAAAAACAAACCACAGTGGTGTTTGATGTGAGAAAGCCCTGGGTTCAGTCTTCTTTCTGCGGTGTTGTAGCCTCCCTCGCTGAGATCAATCTATCTACTAATTCATGGAGGCAAAGAGCTGGATGATAAAAGAATCCCATCCATGATGCCATGTTACATTTAGTCACTGTGTTTCCTCAGGCTCCTCTAGACCCAATCGGACCCGTCCATAGTGTCCCCAGACTCCAGGGAACACACATCAGGTGCTCAAGGAAGCTCCTTTGTTAGGTTTGAGATTGAGATGAAGAATATAGAACCTTACACCTCCCGTCTAAGGGTGGAAGGGGTGCTAATAGGCAACAGCTCTCTCCAAAGAACTTTTCCATAAATTTCTCTCCTTCTCCAATGCAAGCCCTTTCTATAGCCTTGATTCAGCTGTGGATTCAAGAAAAGACCGTATGGTTTGGGGTCTGTCTCACATTCACTGTGGTGTCCATCTGATAGCCAAAGAATTGGTCCATCAGTGAAACTGAAACCAGAAGAGTCCAACTTTAACGTCTTATGTAACATCCCTAGGCTCCGGGGAGCTGAGGTGTCTGTCCGTGACAGAGCACAGGTCGTCAACCCACACACGGTCACGGCAAAGGAAGAGCTGTTCAGGAAGCACTTTTGTCAGCCAGAGGTTTTATTTTCCTCTGGGGGAAGCTGGAATCTCTGGTCTACATTTCCAGGTGAAGTTGTGCTGAAGTTCTGTTACTCACCTAAATTACTGTTTAATGAAAGTTCCTTACCTCTGTTAGATCCTAGGGGCATTTGTTAGGCCAACACTCCGGGACTTCTCATTCTTTCTTGTAGGCCCAAGATTTTATATATATATGTAAATCCATATATATATACATATATATATGTGTGTGTGTGTGTGTGCGTGCATGCATGTGTGTGTAAATTTTATATTGAATCCTTACCCTGCAATCATAGTAAATCAGTAATTCATTCTAGTAGATTTTTTTCGGTAGGTTCTTTAGGATTCTCTATGCACATGATCATGTCATCTGCAAATAAAGACAATTTTCCTTCTTTCTAATATATATGACTTACATATCTTTTCCTTGTCTTATTGTACTAACTAGATTTTCCTGTACAACAGTGAAGAGAAGTGGTGAGTGTGGATTTCAGAGGTTGTATTTTTTAGTTTTAAATTTTTCAGCTGGTTCCAGATTTTGGCCATTCTAATAGGTGTGTAGTGGTCACAAGTTTGAATTTGGAGTTTTGTGATGATATGGAGCATCTTTTCATATGCTTATGTGCCA